GGTAACGTGCAAAAAGAAAAAAAAGACCCGAGAAAAATACTGCTTTATAAACCTTAAGACTTAATATAAAAAAAAATTAGATACTTTACGTATGAAAGCATTTTAATGTTTACTGATAAACTGCCAAATTTCGTTAATATTCGCTTACTAATTTAAAAGTTATAGCATGAAAAGTATAACAAGCACAAAACGGTTACAAGGTCGATTTTAGGGACTGAGTCCGTGCTGAAAGAGTTAACTGGGTTATCACAGTGACTATCAAAACCAAACTGTTTACATCAACTGTTGTCTCAACTTTTATTAACTATGTTATCACAGTGACTATCAACACAAAACTGTTTACATCAACTGTTGTCTCAACTTTTAGTAGCTGGGTTATCACAGTGACTATCAACACAAAACCGTTTACATCAACTGTTGTCTCAACTTTTAGTAGCTGTGTTATCACAGTGACTATTTACAATAAACTGTTTACATCAACTATTGTCTCAACTTTTAGCAGCTGGGTTATCACAGTGACTATCAACACTAAACTGTTTACGTCAACTTAATTTATAGGTTTTAGTACGAGTATTTTCATGGCTTGATATTTAGAAAGTCACTATATAATGATTCAGGTGGATTATAAAGTTTCAAGAATTGTCATGAATTTTAAGTTATTTCATTCAGGCCACAGATGTGCCAGTAACAAAGTATTAACAGTAATATTCTTTACGTTAAAAATAGCAATCTCCTAATATATACAATTCAAAATATATATTGTATCTTGTATCTATACTATCTACAGTATTTGATGCTTAATTTTTGTACTGTGTTCAGACTTTACAGTATATTAATTCTACTGGTAGGAATAGTATTAATAAAACTGCATCATGACAGATTTCCAGGAAGTAAGCATCTCAGCCAATTAAGATTTATAACTATATTAATGGAACAGTTTATGCAATACATTAAATTTCATTAACAGATATAAATTTCCCCATCAGACTGTAAGTAACAAGTACTTAAATGGATATGTAGAGTAATAATTGATTTTTTCCACAAACTCCTTACCGTCTCTCGGTCAACAATTTCTTTTTTTAATGCCCATGTGTCTTCTGTCCATTGGTCAACTACTAATGGGTCATCACTGATTATGATGTTGTCAAACACGATACCATCACTCATTGACCACAGTTCAAAACCTACAGCCTCCTATAATGTAAAGTTGGATTGATTAGTAGGAATATTTATGTCATTTAAAATCTACTGAACAATGATAAAACATAATCATTATAAGCCAGATTTGTTTACACCTCTAGCAACACGTACATGTACATTCTCACTTTAAATAACAACTGTTGTATCACTAAAGCCTAGTAAAAACTTCACACAATTGTATGAGACAAAAAATTAACTTACTATTGTTGATATTTTGTATGGATTCAAGTCTTCAAAATATTCAGGGTTTGGTATCTTGCGTGGCTTCCATTTACCCTTTTAAAATAAAAATTATCAACTGCATTATTCAAATTGCTACTATTTATTATTTTTACGATGAGTACCAGTAAATATCAACATTTTTTACAACTACATTCTGAAGAGAGGTTAATAGTCTTACCTACTCTAGATACACTGTTTTTATAACCAATAATAGTAATTTATCCCCCATTTCACTTTGCCTTCTGTTATTTTCCACATGTGACTTTTCTTTGCTTATAACTTACATTAACATTTGATTTATTAACTATGTATTGATGCCATGTTTATTCATATACAATGGTAATAAAGTACTTTAATTAAATTTTGAATGTAACTGTAAAAAGTCGTGACATGTAGACTTTGACCTTCCTGTAGAAAGAGGGTTGAGTTTTATAGTGGAACCCACTTACCTTTTGTTGATTTTACATGTGAAAACTTTAAAGTTAAGGATAGATACATGTTTCATACCTTGTAGTTGGGATTGTTGATCATAGATGGTTTCCATTTTCCCTTGTAATTGGGGTTGTCGATCATTGGAGGTTTCCATTTTCCACATCCAATAGTACATTTAGAGTTACCTGTCATCGTATCACAAAGGAAGCCGTCAAATAACAAAAACAAACAAGTATGTCAATATATACGTCTTTATACTCAAATTACTGACCTTCTTATACCACTCACTACAGATGGGCTCCACATACACCATCATATAGAGTTATTGTTTCTGCCTGTCATAACACTCAGTACAAAGAAATGGAAAATAACCCATTTTCTAAGATAGTTACACAGGGGACCCTAATGTGTGTGGGATTAATTGTAATATTAAGGTTTTTTTATCCTCGCATGTGTGTGAATCATATGCTATTAAGGACTCTGTACTCAACCAAGCAGTTCAGAAAACACTTAATGCACTGATGCAGTCAGTAATCGTAGGGTTAAAACAACAACAACTTCCCAAGGATAATGTAAACTTCTCACTCTATTTAACTAAAAACCTGAGTAATCAGACAAAAACAAGTCTAATGGTAGCTGTAAAAGTTTTCTGCAATGAGATGAAAAAAAAAAGGTTATTTGCAAATCTCCCAAGTCTTTAATAGAACTTTCTATACCAGTATTTCATTTTTTCATAACAGATAATACAGTTATTGTTGTTTTGGTAACATTGTCTTTCCCCAAAATTAAACTTACTTCACAACCTTTGACAAATTTGTTTACACTTTTCATATGGGGTCACAGTCCATTTGACCAATCTTGTAACCTCAAAGTAATCATACTATAACTTTTCAGAGGTTTTGTGTATCTTCATGAAATCTGGCAAGCTTTCAGTAAACATATGGTCAAATTTCATTTGCATATCTTCTAAATTCTTATAAATAAATATCAAATGTTATTTTTTCAGTAAAACTTTATATTTTATGTTAATTTCTCTATCCTAACTCTAGACGGACTGTCTATTTGACTGATATGTTAACCACCATAAAAAACAACAACAAAGAATTAAACTTAAATTACCCTTTTTTCTTTCTAGAATGTCTGCATATTGTAATAGGACATACATTTGTTTATACTTAACTTTATTGTTCTATGAGCCACGTCTAACTAACAATCCCACCACCCAAGTTGTAAATCAATCAATGAAATTTAAGCAACACCAATACACTAAATAATGCAGCTAATAACACAAAATAATAACTTGCAAAAAAATGAACAATTTCATATCACTATCACAAATTTATCTGTCTTTTTAACTATGAAATAAAAGCCTTTGAATAATTATTTAAGCTTCTTGATCCAAACATAGAGAGAAGCTTTCAAACTGAAGATGAAACAGACAACACTCTGTACTGAAAACCACATAATATAATTATGTCATTTTATAGCTTAAAACTTCGTCTTTCTATTGGATATAAATAACATGATAGAGAACTATAAGAAAGTTGTAAAAGAAAGAATGAAACTGTAGGCATGGCAAGTGGGCCCAATTTTATAGATTATAACTCTGCAAATAAATAAGATTGAAAGCTATAATACTTTGTCTTTGTAATATCTATATTATAATGAGTAAGTTACATTAAATTATGTACTTCAGAGAGAGATGATAAGTAAATTAGAGAACGGAGAAGACCTAGAGAACAAATGTCACGATTCTTTTACTAGGAGAGTTTTAAGGATTTTTTAAAAACATTTTCTTATAAAATTAAAACTTATACAGTACTAAAAGTTAATTTATTAACTATGTATTGATGCCAAGTTTATTCCTATACATTGATAATAAAGTACTTTAATTAAATTTTGAATGTAACTCTAAAAGTTATGACATGCACACACTGACCTACTCATAGCAAGAGGGTTAATTAAAGTGAAAAACTTACTGATAAGAGGAGCTTCCCATTCACCATCCATTTCATCATCCCTGGAAAATAATGCTTATTAATAAACTAGAGAGAATCAGGAATATAGAGTAGTTTAACACCAGCGAAACTAGAGAGAGAATCAGGAATATATAGTAGTTTAACACCAGCGAAACTAGAGAGAATCAGGAATATAGAGTAGTTTAACACCAGCGAAACTAGAGAGAATCAGGAATATAGAGTAGTTTAACACCAACAAAACTAGAGAGTATCAGGAATATAGAGTAGTTTAACACCAGCAAAACTAGAGAGAATCAGGAATATAGAGTAGTTTAACACCAACTATATTCCTGATTCTCTCTAGTTTCGAAGTAGTTTAACACCAGC